TTGAGGCTCCACACCTAGAGCGATGCGCGGCCTGAGTGACTCGCCTTGGCGAGTCGCCAGGTCGGAGCGCCTCGCTCTCAGCTTCCGGTTCGGGCGGTTTCTGCCCGACCTTATGGACCCACCAAAGTGGGTCCATAAGGTCGCAACCCCCCCCTGGGGGCCGGTCCGCGGGTCGCCGCCGCCCGGCCCGCCGTTGACCCGGCAGCGGGGCCGGCTATCCTGACCGCGGCCCGGGCGGGGCCGGAGCCAGGTGTTCGGCACAAACGGCGGGAGGCAGGATGGACGCGGCGATCCGACAGGCGAAGGTGGATCTGGCGGCGGCGCTGCGGCTGGCGGCGCGCTTCGGCTTCAACGAAGGGGTGTGCAACCACTTCAGCTATGCCCTGCCGGGCACGACGGATCGCTACCTGCTGAACCCCCACGGCCTTCACTGGTCGCAGGTGCGGGCCCGCGACATCCTGCTGATCGACGGCGAGGGCCGCAGCCTCGACGGCGGCGGCGCGGCGGAGCTGACCGCCTTCACCATCCACGGGCGCGTGCATGCCCGGCATCCGCAGGCGCGCTGCGTGCTGCACACCCACATGCCCTACGCCACGGCGCTGACCTGCCTGGAGGAGGGGCGCCTGGAGCCGGTGCACCAGAACTCCCTGCGCTTTTACGGCGACGTGGCCTACGACGCCACCTACAACGGCCTGGCCGAGGACCCGGCCGAGGGCGAGCGCATTGCCGAAGCCCTGGGCGACAAGCGGGTGCTCTTCATGGGCAACCACGGCGTCCTGGTCGTGGGGGACTCCATCGCCAGGGCCTTCGACGACCTCTACTACCTGGAGCAGGCCTGCCGGGTGCAGGTCCTGGCCATGTCGACCGGACGTCCGCTGAAGCGGGTGAGCGACAACGTGGCGGCCAGCACCAAGGCGGAGTTCGGCGCCGGCGGCGCCTACCCGGAGCCGCACTTCAACGCCCTCAAGCGGCTGCTCGACCATGAAGACCCGAGCTACGCCGATTAGGCCGCGGCGCGAGGGGCCCGTCTGCGGCCGCCGCCTCGGGGCGTCGGCGTGAGCTGGCTGCTGGGCAGCCTCGCGGCGCTGTTCGCGCCCTACGCCGGAGTCTGTCTGTTCCTGTTCAGGCGTCAGCGGCGCCTGATGTATCGCCCGGACCCGGAGCGGCTCGACCCACGGCGGGCCGGGCCCGACTGGTGCCGGGTGGAGACCACGACCGCCGACGGCCTGCGCCTGGCCCACCTGCACCGGCCCGCCGCGCCCGGCCGCGCGAGCCTGGTGCTGTTCCACGGCAACGCCGGCCATGCTGGGCACCGCACCGCCAAGTTCGACTTCCTGCTGGACCGAGGGGTCGGCGTCTTTCTCTGCGAATACAGGGGGTTCGGCGGCAATCCTGGGGCTCCGTCGGAGCCGGGCCTGCTGGCCGATGCGCGCGCCGCGCTGGCCTGGCTGGAGGGGCAGGGGCTGCCGCCCGAGCGATTGCTGCTCTACGGCGAGTCCCTGGGCAGCGGCGTCGCCACCGCCTTGGCGGCGGAGCTGGCGCGAGCCGGCCGGCCGGCCGCCGGCCTGGTGCTGGAGGCGCCCTTCACCTCGATGGCGGCGGCAGCCCAGCGCCACTATCCCTGGCTGCCGGCGCGCTGGCTGGTGCGCGACCGCTACGACAGCCTGGCCCGGATCGCGGCGGTCGGCGCGCCGCTGCTGATCCTGCACGGGGAGGCCGACCGCACGGTGCCCCTCGCCTTCGGGCGGTGCCTGCACGCCGCGGCCGCCGAGCCCAAGCGCCTGGTCGCATTGCCAGGATTGGGCCACGTCGACCACCTGGCGCGGCCGGAGGCCAGGGCGGCGCTTGTGGACTTCCTGCGAGCGCGAACGCCCGCGCTCGACGCTACGGCGTGAGGCGGTCCAGCGCGGCGGGCGTGTCGACGTCGAGCAGGATCGCCGCGCCCTCGACCGGCACCTCGGCCACCTGCTCGGCATGGGCGGCGATCAGCGGCTTGGCGCCGACGTCGCCGGCGATCTCCATGGCCTCGGCAAAGAAGCGGCGGGCGAGCAGCACCGGGTTGCCGCGCTTGCCCTGATGGGTCGGGATGCAGATGGCGCGCCCCTCCAGCGGATCGAAGGCGGCGATCAGCTTGTCGATGGTGCGCGCGTCGATCCGCGGCATGTCGCCCAGCAGCACGACCACCCCGTCGACCTCCTCGGGCAGGGCGGCCAGGCCGCGCTGCAGGGAGGTGCTGAGCCCCTCGGCGTAGTCGGGATTGTGCACCGTCGCCACGCCGGTATCGGCGACCGCCGCCGCCACTTCGGCGCGGGCATGGCCGGTGACCAGCAGCACCGTCTCGGCCTGGCTGGCCTGGGCGGCGGCGACGGCGCGGCGCACCAGCGGCTGCCCCTCGAGCTCGACCAGCAGCTTGTTCTCCGCGCCGTAGCGGCGCGACTGGCCGGCCGCCAGGACCAGCGCGGCGATTCGCGGCGCCCGCTTCGGGGCGTCCTGGTCGACCGCCTCGGCGCGGGGCAGGGGGCGGCCGCCGATCTCCTTGAGCAGGCCGCCGACGCCCAGGCGCATGACGTCCTGGGGCTGAACCGCAAGCCCGGCGGCCAGGCGCTGCAGCACCCAGTCGAAGCCGTTGATCTTCGGCGAGCGCGCGCAGCCCGGCAGGCCCAGCACCGGCCGCCCGTCCCAATCGCCCAGCAGCAGCAGGTTGCCGGGATCGACCGGCATGCCGAAGTGCCGCACCCGGCCGCCGGCCCGCGCGATGCCGGCCGGCACCACGTCGCGCCGGTCGACGATCGCCGAGGCGCCGGAGACCAGCAGGATCTCGCAGTCGGCGGCGCGCAGCCGGTCCAGCGCGGCGGCCACCGCGGCCTCCGTGTGCTCGCAGCGCAGCTCCAGGCAGGCGGCGCTGCCCAGCGCGGCCAGGCGCCCGTCCAGCGCCGCGCGCGTCTTGTCCAGCAGGCTGTCCTTCTGGCCCGGCAGCCGCGTCTGCACCAGGCCCACGCGGCGCGGCGCGAAGGGGGCGACGCGGACCAGCGGCGGGCCGCTGGCGGCGACCTCCAGGCAGCGCTCCAGCGCTGCCGCCGGCGCGGCGAAGGGGATGACCTTGACTGTCGCCAGCATCTGCCGCGGCTCGACCGGCTCCAGGTGCGGCAGGGTGGCGATCGTCAGCGCCTCGTCGATCAGGTTGAGGCGGTCGAGCCGCTCGGCCTCCACCGTGACCAGCCCGCGGGTCTCGGCGATCAGGTTGCAGCGTCCGGTGAAGGCCTCGCTCAGGCGGGCGCCGGGCCCGGCCACGGCCTCGGCCAGGCGCCGCGCGGCCGCGTCCTCGTGGACGTCGCCCTCCTCCAGGCGCGCGGCGATCACCTCGTGCACCTGGGCCTCGCGCAGCGCCGTGACGTCGGCGGCGGACAGGCGCCGGCCCTTCTTGAAGGAAAGCCCGCCCTGGCGCAGGGAGTGGGCGAGGATCGCCCCCTCGGCCTCGGCAACGGGGGTCGGCCCGAAGATCATGGCCCGCAGATCGCGGCCCGAGGCGCCCCCGCAGGCGAGGGGACGGATCGGGGGATTACGGCGCGGGGGGGCATTGCACGGCGGATCATCGCACGGCGGATCATTGTGCGGCGGATCATTGTGCGGCGGCCGGCGCGTCCGCCGCCGCGGCCTTGACCAGCGGCGGCGCGCCGCGCAGGGCGGCCGTCATCTGGGCGCAGACGGACAGCGCGATCTCGGCCGGGCTCTTGGCGCCGATCGCCAGCCCGGCCGGGCCGTGGATGCGCGCCAGCGCGGCCTCGTCGAGGCCGGCCTCGCGCAGTCGCGCCAGGCGCTTGGCGTGGGTGCGGGTGGAGCCGAGCGCGCCGATGTAGAAGCTCTCGCTGCGCAGCGCCTCGCGCAGCGCCGGATCGTCCAGCTTGGGGTCGTGGGTCAGAGTGACAATCGCGGTGCGGCGGTCCGGCGCCAGCGCGGCCATGGCCTCGTCCGGCCAGTCGTCCACCAGGCGTACGCCGGGAAAGCGCGCCTCGGTGGCGAAGGCCGGGCGCGGGTCGACGATGGCCACGTCGTAGCCCAGGATCTGCGCCATCGGCACCAGCGCCTGGGCGATGTGCACGGCGCCGACCACGATCAGGCGCAGCGG